GTTTGTGGCGTTTTGAGGGCAGGTTCACTAGACCCCATCCTAAGCCAGCTGAATCCCCTCCACCTTACATATTTCACGGATGAGGCCATATGATCTATTCCAGGTCATAAATACTTCTAAAATTATGAAACCGTCTACTCGTTTTTTTGTGTGACTCCCTGGATAGGGGATCAGCCCGACGCAAGGTCTCCGTCTACGCAAGAGAGCACAACACAAAAAGACGCAAACATCCACACTGCGAGTAGGATTCAAACCCACGATCCCAGTGTCTGAGCAGTCAAGACCACGCCTCGGACCACGCAATCATTGTGATCACTCATTCACACCTACTTCCTTAAAGTACATTTTAATGACATCCTTCCATACACGCCCGAGTAATTTCAGATTTTCAGAAAAAGAAAATTGTATTAATTTCTGACAGGCTGAATGTTAATGTTGACTTGGCGAAGAGTACAAATCATTAAGTTCCTACTCTTCTTCGCTGTTTTCTCTCCTAACTACGACAAACATTGTCCTAAGCACTCTGTCCCTTTTCTTCTCAATTTCCATGTATGGGAGAGGCACCAAAACATTATAATAGTCTGCTGGTTCGATATCTTTGTCCCACCTAAACTGTATCCCCCATTAATTTTAAATAATACGTCTCTATTTCTCTTCTACTGATGTCAATGAACCTACCCCATGAGCGACTCCTATGTTCCAAGTTCAAAACTTCACTTCACTTCTTTCTTTGCTTAGGTTGTGCCAAAGATTCCGTCCAAGTCAGAATCCCGTAGTGACATTTCCGTAAAATTACTGGTTCCCATTACGGTGAGGAATTATCTGCTCTCTGCTCAATCCCCAAGACGGAAGACCACTATTTGTCGGCTGTCCGCGGCTGCTTATCAGCATGTTAAAACTACGAAGAAAAACACGGAAGCTAGTAAGGAAGTTGGTCTAGAAGCAAACGAAGAGAAAACGAAGTACAAGTCCATGTGTCGTCCGTCACCTGTCTGCTGGATAAATGCAGCTATAGTCGGCGCAGTATTTTCTGGCCGGTGGAGAAGCTAGCGGAGCTGGCGGACGGGCCTAGTCTGTGTACCTGAGGTGGCACGGTCAGTGCATTTCTTTTGTTTGGGCGTTCGGTCCGAGACTCGCTCCTCGGCGCAGTAAGCAAAAAAGACTCGCTCCTAGCCTTCCCCTTGAAAATTCCACCGGCCAGAAACTACTGCGCCGACTATAATAAATTTTTGGAAAATGTGACAAAATTTCAGATATTTGGGGACGATGTTAACAAATCAGAACTGCATTTATAAGGAAATTAATATTCATCGCCCTGATGACGGAGGCAGTATGACCTCTGAAACGTTAGTTAATATCGACCAGACTACACAGCGCAACAACCCAGAAGACGGAAATCTTCAAATTAAGAGAAGACTAGATTCAGGGAATGCTTGCTACAAGCAGTTCATAACATTCTGTCTTCCCGTCTATCTAAATACGTAAATATTAAAACATACAAAACAATACGTTGGCTTCTTCCTTTACATGGCTGTGAAACCTGGTCTCCCATGTCAAAGGGAAAACGGATTAAAGATGTCTGAGAGAAGTGGGTGCTGAGGAGAAAATGTATTTGGACCTAAAAGGGATGAAGTTATAGGAGGGAGGATAAAAATAACATAAAGAAAAGCTTCATAGCTTGCACTCTTCACCAATTATTAAAACTATAAAACCAGGGAAATATGCTTGGATGGGCATACAGCACGCATGGGGGAGGTGAGAAATGCGAAGAAGTTTTTGGTTTGAAAACCTGAAGATAAGAGACCACTTGGAAGTCGACTTAGGCACAGATAGGGGCATAATATTAAAACAGATCTTGGTGATGTAGGGTTTGCGAGTGGGCATTAGACTCTTATGGCTCAGGGCAGGGACCGGTGGCGGGCTCTTGTGAACACGGTAATGAACTTTCGAATTCCACAAAATGCAGGTAATATGACTAGCTAAACGACAAACAGCTTGCAAGAAGGATTAGTTAGTTGCCCTCTCCTCAATCGACTATATGTGACGCGCAATGCAATGGTGAAAGGAGCCCAAACAAAATAAACCGATCACCATTCTTACCTTTCACTTTCACGTGTACTTATTTGACGACGCTGCATCAACTATACAGAATTATTCTATATTAGACGTACACATATTATTGACATAAATTCATATACATATAGATCAGCAAATCCTTAATTCTTAATTAAGGGCCCTTCTTGCATGCTGCAATTTGACTTACAAAGCGCCTGGTGAGTAAATGAACGGCTGTACACCAAATTGCCTACCGCACACTGATGGCGTTATTATTGAAACTTTGTACGCAAACAAAGCATTAGATGACGCAACTTTATCATCTCATTAACGAATTTGTTAAATCGGTTTTGTATTAGAGCTCACTTCACAGCAGATAGAACTTTGGAAGAATTTTTAATAATTTTTCAGCCGCGTCACCCTTGAAATCCTTTGGGTACCACACATTGGGATACATTGTTATATGGCATTAAAGACGCCGTGGCCGATCAAAATGTTATATTGCGTCCAAATTGATGGCAGGGTCATTACTTGTGGTGTGGTATACTACGAAGACGTGGAATTACAGCAGTGCTAACGCCCAACCCTACCCTTTGAAGTACGAAATATATTGAAACAGGGCTTAAATATTCAGTCCCTGCCTCAAAGAAGACACAGAGTCTCTGAAAATCAGTCAATCGATTACTGATGTTTACGAAGACACGCTTAATCGCTGTCTGTTCCGAGAATCATATGAAACATACAAACACAATCTGTGGGAAGTTACTGAATGTTAAAGAACATGGTATACAGTGGGCAAACGTACATGTTTTAGTCTTGAGTTGTACATTCAAAAACCAATGACATAAATTCATATACATATAGATCAGCAAATCCTTAATTCTTAATTTAGGGCCCTTCTTGCATGCTGCAATTTGACGTACAAAGCGCCTGGTGAGTAGATGTAGTAGGCGTACACCAAATTGACTACCGCACATTGATGGCGTTATTATGGAAACTTTGTACGCAAACAAAGCATTATATGTGCACCAGATGGCGCTAGTCAGTCACCCTCAACAGTACTGTCTGTCTATTAGCACTGTTGTGTCGAAAACTCTGTTTGCCTTCACCACTCTTCATCCGCCCATCCGACAGGTCCAAGACCTTCCCAGCCAGCCATCATACATCGATGGCAAGAGAGTGCAGTGAGATAGTGACTCAAGACCTTCCCAGCCAGCCATCATACACCGATGGCAAGAGAGTGCAGTGAGATGGTGACTGTGGCTGGTCCCAACTGGTACACTTCTGATACTGTTTGCGTTTGACGTGTCCTTCAGTAAATGTGTGTACGGCTCCTAGTTAACCTGGTTCCACGCCCCATACTTCTACTGCAAGTCCAAAGTCTGTCGGCGGTTGCTGCTGCCGTCTTGTTTCTACACGGCTGTGGGACTCCTTAATAGCCTGAACACAATACTAAATATGCGAGGCCAAGGTCCCGGGAGCGAGAATGGAACACATGCAAATTCGCGCCTTAACGATCCCCCAGCTCTTGCTATGGAACTGGTAAAAAGTATGAGTGTGTGTGTTACGTTTCGCGGCAAAGCGCTTTAAACCCTTCTTGCACTGTATAGATACAAACGTAGTAATAGGGTGGTTACGTCCCTACTCTGCATGCAGTTCAAATTCCATCAAATTTCGGAAAAACGAGTCATCGTATAGAAAACAGATACGTGGCATAATCATAAACCATACCTCATGAAGATCTATAATGTTTTTGTTACGATATACTTATCAAAATACACAATCAACAAAATCATTTATGACTTTATCAATGTTTCTGATCTTCTGTAGTAGAATGTAATGTCTTCTCACTGCAGGATCTGTAATATTAGTTAGCTTTGAAAACAAGGGTACAATAAATGAATATCAATTACATCTTGGGGGAGGAGATCGCCATGATGCGAAACACCTTCTGATTACTTTAACACTCACCATTTAACTAAATGTTAATGTCGGAAAACATGTTATATTTTATAAAGAATAATATATGTTCTTGGGGGTGAGTAAATTATTTAGACAACTTTACAATCTCGAAACTCGAACCAGAGACTTTAAACTCGCGTTACATTTACTGTTCTTGCCTAACAATTGGAATCCGTTATTTTCACCGAATTCAGTTTTCTTTGCGGTTACTAAAAACAAAGTACAGTACTCACAAATTCCCTGACTAAAACATCAAAAATACGGAGATTGGCTTTTCTTTCTGACATATATGTGGTCACTGATATTCTCCGATTCAGTTTATCCGCATCTGTGCGAAATGATACCCCACAGGATAATATTCAACTTCAGTAACTGTGTAACAGAATTTCTGACATCCCTCATATATTTACACTTGCCATGAGAACAAACAACTAGCATTTTACACTCCAGCATGACAAGTCATATTTCACAAGTACATTATATAGTGCACTTAACCTGCGTTAAAAACCTCTCCATTACAACATAAATGCTAATTATCATTAAAAATAAATCTGCGATCAATAGTGACGTCACGCAGCACTAGTAAATTAATAAATAGGGTATTTTCTGTAGTTAATTATCCACTGACCCTACTTGCTCCCGCTAGGTTTTTTCCCCATTTTATTTTATTGCCTTCGTCGGGAACTAAATATTATCGCAACATCTGCTGTGTTGAGGCCGTTATTTGGATGCATTATAAATGTGACAGATCTTAAAACGTCACCTTGCAGATGTTAATTGCAGACTGCCAGGTGCGTCCCTGAGTTAGACCCCAGCCAACTCTTCTCGTAAGATGACAGGTGGAACTCCATCCACTCACAGCGGCTTCACATCACTCATTCTGTTTTTACACAGTACGTACAATTTACCTTCTAACCACAAACAGCCATAGAAGTTGTTTTTTTATTCTATTTCCACGACATGGTAGTCGACATTCAGCACACTATTGACGAAAACACGGACGCAAGCACTTCAAAATCGATAACTCAGACACTTAATGACTCGAGATGAGCTAGCAGATGGTTTTCTCTAGCCACAATCACCTACAGCTACTCCTCGCGATATACGAAGGCCGTATTCCAACTTATAACTGGTTTTTCTAGCCGTCTCCCAGCAATGGCGGCACGGGTTAGGGAGGGGACCTTCGGTAAGTCACGTGACTTGGTTTGTGGACGAATCCATTATGGCGGCAGAGGGGAGCTTTCCCGGCAGATGACGTGTCAGAATAGGCAATATTGACTGACGGTAGAGGGAAGAAACAAGTCTCGGAGCAAAAAGACCCACTGCATGTACAGAGGTGGGGCACTGTAGCCCCACCTCCATTTCCCGCACTCGGTGACTCGATCGGTAAAGCACCGCTCTGTAATCCCAATGTCCAAGCCCAGAAGATACTGTAATCTTCCGTTCGGTCAAACAGATCAGTGATTTCTTAACCCTCCCTTTACCCGCTCGGTGTAAATTCGACACACGGTCCAGAAGCGCAAAGTTGCTGAGGTTTCAGGTTCCTATGGCGGCGAGTATGAATATAACTGTCGTTTTGTATGCTGGTGTAGCTTGGTAGAAGTTTACTGGAGTTTCAGAGCATCTTACATCAGGGAGATGTGCCCTCTGAAACGTCGTTAAACTTCTACCAGTCGATGGGCTTGGTGTCCATGGGTAGTAAAACCTTAGGGGTGTCAGGGGAAGCCTTCGGGAAGACGCCCGGGGATTCCTCGAGGTTTGTTAAACCTGGAGGTGGCCTAACCCCACAAGAAGTCGGCTAAACCTCTGGAGTGACTGTCCTGTGGATATCCAGTGCCTGATTTTCTAGCCCTTGAAGGTTGTAGACTATAAAAGCTAAACGTATGAATTTTGAAGGGCAGAGGGTGGAATAATGTATGAGAGGTGATGCCCAGGGAGCTAAGCCCCTGGAGTGGCAACCTCTGGAAGTATGGTCACAGAAAGCCAGGTTTCTAAAGCTGCAGGTGTGTCAAACCTGGTTTGAAGCAAGATTTGTGAGGACGACGTGGAGTCCCCTGGGATGTCTTAACCCCGCGTGTAAGCGTACCTATGGTAGGCAGTTCCAGTGGTGATCAAAGTCACCAGCAAAGCCACTGGGAGGGATCAAGCCCTGTGGGCAAAGCCCAAAGTGACGCAGGCCGAAGGGGCAAAGACCTGGGGGAAAGAGCCCCCCTGGGTATAACCTTCGGAATGGAATCTAAAGTTGTATTACAATTATGAAAATATATGTATATCCAAACTCTTACTCACTTTTCTACAGACTCTCTTTTGCGAAGAGATCCCTGTCTTTAATCTTGACGGCGTAGAATTTGTGGACGTTTACCTTGGCTTATGAAGGTTTTGTTGTGAAAATCTAAACATTTCTTCAGAGGAAATGAGCAGAAAACTGGTTATCGTGTTTTGAAATAAGTAATTTAGGTTTAATGCCAGGCAGAGAGGTCTATATGTAAAATGTTTTAAGGACACACTTTGCATCGTTTCGGAAACGAGGTTAAAACAATTGCGTTTTGTTTCACTTATTTCGTCTGTAGAATACAGAGGCGGACCTGTAAATTATTGATAGGCTATAAAGTTGAGTCTTACTTCTCGTTTTATTCTGTTTCATGCTACTGTGTCAATATCGTTGTATGCAAAACAGGCATTATGTTTATGAATAGTCAAGTAGAAGTGTGGGAGGAGCTTTATCGATGTGGTTGTCAGCGGCTGTACGTGCTTTATTTTTCTGGTCAGGCACCTTTACAATATATTGTAAAATATAGGATTTGAGGCTTTCGCGGCGAGTACAATCAATAAAATCTTCTCGGGCAGTTAGAACGCTGTCCTTGTAATCCTGGGGTCTCGGGTTCGATTCCCGGCGGTGCCCGAATTTATAACTTGAGTTGGGCAAGGCCGTGGTCTAAGCAACACGGAGTTTTCCTCCGGGGGCTTCCCCGGTTTCTCCGTGGCATCCCAACAATTACTCCATTCACACACAGAAGAAGGCAATGGCAAACCACTTCTGGATCATCTCCCAAGAACGTATATGAACAGGTCCCAGTCCGAGAAAAGGATGGAAGGATCCTGTTCATATGGACCTGTCGTCACACAGAACACTAAATAAAATAGTCATCCGCGTCAACTGATTACCATAGTAAACTGACGTTTCGGGAACCAAATCTGTCACCATCATCAGGGTTCTGATAAGACTGGATACCTCGGAAGTCGGTTGTGTATGATACACAATTCTGGTCGGGATTCCAAGATGAAAGAATGCTAACCAGTGCAGTGCAACAGTAAATGACAACTAACTTAGAATTTGGTATAAAATCTTCTATACCTGCAGAGCTGAAATGGTAGTAATTACACCTCGATAATGAGTCTGTACTACTTAATAGGAATTTGGACTGGGAATAAGTAATAAGGGCTGTTTTATTAACGTAATGTTAAGCTAAAATTTTTCCCCGATCACCAATCAATTCCGAAACTCATCTCCATTGTCATGATACTGTTTCACACGTCAACCATAAGCTTTGGGGTCCATCTGGAACAAAATCTGTGGTATCCCAGAGCATCTTGAATAACGTAAAAGGCAGAACAATGTTCTAATTGTCTATCTGCACTTCTCACAAATTCACCTATTGTTTAACTTCTCATTACTTACTCCGTCGCCCTACAGTCCTTGAAGGACCTTGGAATCCTCACACTCGAAAGTTTCCTGATGTATTTAGACATTTGGCAGAACTCCTTGGACGAGTCATCAGGCCCCAGGAACACAAAAAGACGCCGACAAACATCCATGCCTTGAGTGTGATTCTAGCCAGCGATCTCAGTGCCCGAGAATTCAACTAAACAAAACCATCTTAACCTAACCTAACCCAACCTAACCTAACCTAAGATTCATTCCCCAGACCGTACGTCCACTGCGAGCGGCTTCGCTTGTAGTTACAATAAACAAGTTATGTAATATATTTCATAAACGCAGTCGTGATGTGGGTTAGGTCCACGCAGACGCAGTAATTTTGGAACGAGAACTCAACTTCATAAATATTATAGCTTTTTTTAAAAAAATTAACACCATGGAAAGGTAATGGATTAAAATAAATTAAAAGTCAGAAACATGACTAATGCTAATTTCAGATGCAAAATATTTTCAGTTCTGCCAACATATTTTGAGGCAAACTAAAACTGCCCTTTGACATGTAATTGAAAACCATTACAAATATTACATAATTAGCCTATGTGTTTACGTATATAACTCATACATGTTGCTATTATATTTTTGATTAGACACTAGCCAAGGCGCATTGTGTGCCTGTAATAGGAGTCTTCGTTGTTTTATATAGTAATTAAAATGTGTATGGAATATGAACGCGAATTTAACTCTGCTGTAAACATACGAGGTGCGATCGGAAAGTTTCAAGACTGTGTCAATAGAGGGCGAACCGGATGTAGTACGAGCATCTGCCGCTAGGGGGTGCGGCCTACATTCATAGTGAATCAGTGTGCCAGCCGGCATCATCGAATTAGCATTTGTTTCTTAGTTACGGGCGTTTAGGTAGTGCATTACACCGACCCTCCTGCGATTTCGGAATGGCGTGTGCATCAAATTTGGCCAAAGACTCGCCAAA